GAAACGAAAATATTTTTAAACATCTCATAACAACATAACAGACGTCTAACGTTGTGTTTTGTGGGTGCTGCTGTGAGCTCGCACGCTCACGCACCTTGGCATCCGACTCGAGACAACCACTCTTTTTTTTTTAGATAACTACAGTAATGTTAACGCTCTGTTTCTGTCACTCATTTGTGAGAAGGCGATTAAGCTAGCTGCACACCTTTTAAACCCACTATGGTAAATCCACTGAAAGGGACCAGTGCGAGCTGACAGGCAGATTAGCGACTTTATCCTCTCAGTTTCTCTCTTTACAAAGTGTTGCAGTATGAGAGTCTGACCTGATGTTACGCAATATGAGAACCACATACAACATAATTTATCGAATCAAGATGGACTTGATGAATTTAGCGCGAGGATACACATGTGACAACGTCCAGTTTTCAAAATAGTCTATACAGTACAGAAATAAGATTAATTGGATTATATTCACAAAAAGTATAGGCTAAAACATATTACCTTACATGTGTCCATTAAAAGTAAAAAAACTACAACAACAAAATGTTAGGGAAATTATTTATTCTATTTTCTATTCTTTGATTTAGGGTTGCTGGAAAAACATTAAATAAATTAGTTGACTTTTGTTGCCGTTTCATCACCATTTATATCTCTACAATGGGTTTATGATCAAATAGTTTACTAGAGCACAACATTGTTTACGAGAGGGCAAAGTTCTTCATAGATAGCCTCTTCATTTTGCACCAAATTAATGCATTTACCTTTAAAATGTACAAATACACCATAGACTCTTAAAATCCCGTGGGAAACACCGCCTTGCTTCCAGTCTTTATGCTCGCCTCCTGCCTCTAGCTCAATAACCAAAAGACATAACAGTGGTATCCATCTTCTCATCTAACTCAAGACAGCGGTGCAGGGGTTTCCCATGTTGGAGTCGGGACCCGCCCAAGGGGGTTGCAAGATAAATCTGATTTGTCACAAGATAATTAATAGAACGGGAAAATGGAAAAACACATTTCTGCTACATTTTTTTTTCTTCTCTTTATATTTGCTTGCAATTTGCAGCAATGTTTTACATCCCCGTGCTTCTAAACATTATTCAAATAAAACAATTTAAATTTTTGGTTGAACTGGCCGACATGCAGACATATGCAACCTGTGACAAGGGGTCACGAGCAGTGTCAGGCAGCTAAGCTTTACTTAATAACATGTTACAGTAATGTGTTATACTTTTCAGTAAGAAGTAGTTTCAAGGCATTACAATACAATTCAGCAATTACATTACAGTTACTAGCGTTAGTAATGATCCGTTACTTTGATATTTAAAGGAGCATTTGTTTGCGGCCTCACTAGCAGTTTGATGGAGGGTTGATATGAATTTGTTTCCTCTACAGTCAGTGGACAGACTGGTCTGAGACATAATAGCTAGGTGAAGCTGTTACCATCAACCGAAAGAGGGGAAATGCACCTCATTACTCCAACGTTGTCTTATTCACATGTATGTGCTTCGCTGCTTTGCTACCGTTACCCCCATTTAAACCTGCATTCAGGAGTTCCCTAGTTTTGTTTGGAGTTTGGTGGACTTTTTATATTTGTGCATGTGTTAAATAAGACGCAGTGCGTGGGTGTGGAGGATCTGGAGCTGTTTAAAGGCCCATCTAACAGAATTGGTCTGAGTAACGTGAAGTTACATAAGTAAAGTAGCGCATTACTTTTGCAGCTGAGTAATTGGTAAAGTGATGTTAAAAATAAGAAAAATAAAATATAATAATTAAGTGAAATTGCTTTGTCAGTGAGGAATGTGAATAAGTAATGAACATTTGATTAAAGTTTTCATGTAACCTGCCCAACACTGGTCACCAACCAAAAAGATCTCTCCGCTTCTCCCTGCTCACTCGTGTCTTGGAGCCACATTAAAAGGATAGACTCAGCATCCATCTATGGACCTGAGTTGTGGGACTTTCCACTCAGCTCTTTAAGGAGACCTTTAATAATGCAAGGCGAGAAGCTCTGCGACAGGGCCCATTCCCGGAATACCTGACGCAGAGTAGGTCTTAACTAAACTCTGCTGCACGCTGGAATCCAAACCATTTGTGGTGTGAACACTAGCAGGACCACCGACATTTCACCTGACAGGAATGATAAACACACCTGGGAACTGCTCTGTCCCTGCCGATGTTTATTCACTACAGCCTCACCATTTATGAGGTGAGGCTGCAAGCCTGGTGGAGCAGCTAATGTATTCATCAATGGGATTATTTAGCTGCGGAAAAAGAAGGTTTCACCCCCCCGAGGTGTGGGAGAAGAACAAATGAACCGATTGGAGGGGATAGCGAGTGACACTGCAGAACCCAGAAGAGACAGTGGAGAGAGGAATCACTGACGATACACCACTGAAAGAGCTGGTTCGGAGCCAGCGAAATGATTTATTCCTGTCTAGTAAAGAATAGAAGGTCAGAAGGGCTGAACACAGAAATGACCTCAGAGGCACTCATGCTGAGTTGATGGATATGGAGGAAGTGTGGAACTGATTTCAGATTACTGTGTTTCTGTACCCTTCGAAACAAATATTCTTGGTATCCTGGTTGCACATACATGAAGATGGTGAAGTGAACTCGCATAAAATTTGACTCATAACTGCTCAAACTAGTGATATCAGCTCTCACCATCTAATATTTCCTGTTACTACCCCCTAAATAAGACCACACTTACACAAAGCAAACAGTCCTTGGTTTTTCTACGCTTAGGATTTTTTCAGGTTTCGCTACAGATTGGGAATTTGGGGCAGGCGGCTCGGTGCATGTTTGTGCCTGCCGGGGCAAATTCAACCCACAGCGCTGCATAAACAGCATACCAAGTGGCATTTTTGGGTAGACAGGAAGAGGTTAGAGCAACGACACCTCGGCTAGAGGGGGGAAGTTCTGAGTCCTTCTTGCAGCAACAACGATTAAGCAACAAGAAGTTAACATTCAGCTGACTGCAAGACATCATTAGGTCTGAATATCACTCTATAGTAGATGCAGGTTATTCCAGCACTGGAGTACTGTGCCACAGATTAGCAGTCATCACCCTTTCTGAAGACTTTCCTCCTGCCTTTTTCTGTAAGAAATCCAATTTAAATGTAGATGACAGTGCCACCACTTCTTCTCCCAACTCCCAGTCTCATCCTCTCTCCATCCTCCTTTTTCAGGCTCTGCGAGTCTCTCCTCCTTTGCTGCAACTGCAGTGAAATCAAACATATTTGACGGACCGTGACGGCTGCTGAAACCCCCCCCCCCCCCCCAAAAAAACATCGACTATCGCATTTCGAAGCACAATGGCAAAATGTTTTCAATCTGCTGTGGATTTTAGCGCTCAAACACAAAGACGGTAATAATCCGTGTCTCAAAAGAAAGGTCAGGATGAAGGATATTTAAAATGTATGCTAACAGTGCGAGCTGTTCCAAAATATAGATACAGAAGTGTATCGTTTATTCACAAGCGCATGGTGCACACACACACAGTCAAAACATTAAGAAGCAAAACATACCATTGAGGCTTTGCTTCTAACCCAGCAAAGCCCCAAAGCATTTTAGAAAGCAGCATTAAGATGTCAGCGGGTGAGCTTGGTATGCTCCTTTCACCAGCATGCTTTTTTCCACTTATTGTTTTCAGTAACCTAAACATCTGAGCGAATCTGGAACGATGCAGTTCAGTCTTCTAACTAGAAAAACAATACAATTTAAGGCAAACTTGGATTGTTTCAGATATACAAGCTAGGTTTAACAGGTGAAATCTGCAACACAAGTAGAAGATAAAAACGTATCAATTCTGCAAACATGAAATCTTGAGATCTCCCTTTTCTACATTCCTCCTTACAGTTTGATTTGCTGTAAGATCCATCATCGGCTCTCACACTGTATGTTCAGTGGCGTGTGTGAATCACATGACCGCCACTTCTCTCACAACAGTTAACTTTTGACCTTGAATCTAACTCACAACTGCGGTTATCACTATGGCAGCCTAAATAGGGCTGGAGCACATACGTGGACATCACGGCCAATATGTGTCCCTTTCATGCAGATGAAACGATCACAGGTCACACGAGCAAGTGCATCTGTTTCTGCCAGCAGCAGTGACATACAGTACATGCCAGCTGAATCCCTTTACAGACAGGCAGCTGAGCCCTTCAGTCAAACAAAGACGCCTCCTTGAGTTTCTTTGTTTGGGCCTAAGCTAAGGTGGATAAGGTGTCTCGCCTACTGTGACCTTGCTGCATTGCCCACGTGAACATACCTATACACATCTATACATAACCTTCATTGCCTTATACAGCCTGTAGAGATCAATACATCAAGAAAACAGGCAACACATTTAATCAAAAATTATTCTTTCCTGCCCACAGAGTCACCTACAGAATCTTTCCTGTGCTCCCCTTCTTCTCCAAACCAATATATCACAGCGCCTGATGCTACAGCTGTATCGTATATGAAAACAAAATGCCCTTCTGTAGCTGCAGTGACAGTTTGCAACCCAATGCTTCATCAACATCTGCGCCTGCATTGATCGGGTGGCAACTGAGTCTGTCTGGGAAAGGCTGCAGCTGCTCCTGTACAAACAGGGGTATAAAAGATAACCATGGGATGTGCCTGTGTGTGTGTCATCTACAACATTAGGGCTGTAAAATCCACCAGGTAATTATTATTTGGGTGGACTGGTGGTAGTCAACCTGAGGACGTCCAAGTGTCCTGGAGGGGTTAAATATCCCAGTTAGAGCAAAGGAAATTGTAATAATTGCCTTTAATGTGGCCTTAATACTGCATTAACAGCAACAAGCCTATAATAGGCTATGAGGTATTTTCTTTTCAAACAGGCACCCATGGGTGTTTGCCTGTTTATAACTCCCCAGTGTGAACACACTGACTGGGTTATTTCCACCCAGCATAATGATAAGTCATGCTCGGCTTTCGTAAAACCCCCCTTTCTTTTTCGCCTTACCCCCCCGCCCTCCTCTGACATACCTCGGCACACAGCTAGGTGAGGAGCGGTCCACCTCCCAGGTAGCGTACAGGTTCATGTGGACCGGCCGGTTGGAGGTGATGCTGACCGGCTTGGAGGGCTGCATGTGCGGCGAGGGGACGCCCCCAGTCCGCGGGAGCCCTCCTCGCTCCGACATCCTGGAGGCTGGAAGCGGGCTTTCAGACGGAGCCGAGAGGAGGAATACCCGTAGTAGCCTGGCTTCTTCTCCGTGTGTGTGTGTGTTGTCCTTTTTTGGTGCCTCCTCCTCCTTCCTTTGGCTTATTTTTCAGGCTCCTGGTGGTGCAAATGCGTAAAACGCTCCCGTGTTCAGCACAAAACGCAAAGTTGAACTCCTTTGTGCTATTCGCCGCCCGATAGTGAAACCATGGCAGTCGTCGGGGTTTGTACCCGAAAGCAGGCGCCAAATCCCCGCGTCCGTGTTTGTGTCCTCCCGCTACCCCCCGCGCCTCAGCTGCGTGTCTGCTCGATGTGTGCTGCTCGGTCGTGTTTATCGGTGTAGGAAGCGGAAATTTCTCTCGCCGAAGTCGCACAATGAGCAGAAAGCAGCGAGCTACGCCTCTTCAGTCAGAGGACGTAAAGCACCAGAGAGAGAGCGAGAGCGAGAGAGAGCGAGAGGGGCTGGCCCACACTGTGCTGTAAATGTTCCTGGGGGTTTTTAAGTCCCAGGTTTCCATATGTTCAATCTATTCTTAAATTTACTGCACTGTGTATATATGATGATATTATCTTCATTTTCATTTTCTATTTTTACAGAGAGGATGTAATAGCCTGCACTACATGTAGGGGGGAAATGGTTTACCTCCAGTTGTACCTGTAAGGTTCACTGAATTGAATTGAGATTTATTTTTTTTATTTAAATTTAGTATTTGTTATTATTAATTGAAATAAGTTTCTGTTATTTATGTACATTTTATTGTTTACTTTTTGTTTTGTCAATTTATATGTATATTATTGCTATTATCAATAAAAAATAAACATATAATAATGTATGTTCTTAATTATATTATTTACATAACATTACATCAACATAAACATTAAAATCATATAAACGTCATCTACATCAACATTATTGTCATTATTATATTAATGTATATTGTATTTATTTCAACAGAAAGTTGTCTTAATTGTTTTGTATAATGCTTTTTTTTCTATCGTTATAATATGTCTCATAAATTATGTAGCACAGTATAATGTATTGGTGTGTCTTACTTTTAAAGGGCTGATTATGAGAGGAGTTGTTGTGTGCATGTGGTTTCAAGCTTTTTCGAGATAATAGAATCTATTAACATACAAACATGCTTGTCTGCCTGCATTTTTCCACTTCTGTTTATCTTGTAATCGCCAAGTGGAAGCAACACCCTTTCTTTCCTGTGAAACACGCTGCAGGCCTCCCTGCGTCTGGCTGCCAGTGAGTGCAGCATGAGACAGGTGCAGTGTTTGCACCTTCAGATCACAAAGGCAGGGCTACAATTACAATCTCTGAATCTGAATATGAATCAGAAGGTGACCTAATCACTTCACAAACGTCACAGCACGGCTGACTGCACTCAGCTTGATGTTTCTCCACAGGCCGATCACCACAGCTGTGACTGGGACTTTCAACATCATTATGTGCTTGACATGTTCACGGATGGTTTTTGATGTTGTAAATATCACAATTGAATAAATTATAAAAGCATAACTGGAAATTGTTGCTGGTTGCATGTCCATAACCACTGGTCGTAATGATGTGGTAATGATGTAACCAAAAGCAAATAGCTAATGGGGTTTTGTATTTGATCTCTCTTTAACTTTCACATCACTTACATAGGTTTTTTATTCTAGCACCGCAGCATAAAATAGTGTAGCAAAACATAAGGTCCATTATGTTCCAACATAAAGTAATAACAAGTTTAAACATTTAACACGTACAGTCTTGGAAGTAGTATGAAGGCAGCTCAGGATATTTAGAGTTTCAACAACATTGAGGTCATTTGCGTAGAGTAAACTGAAAACATTTCTTTGAGCTGGTAATAGGCTACCATTTCTTTTTGATATAAACCTAAACTACTTTTGCTACTTAGTGAATGTTACATGTGCAACACTTCAGTTTCACTATGCAAGAGCTCATAGGGGAACTTCACTGATTTTACACATCACAGACTGTCTACGGGGGAGTACAACTAAATACTAAATAAGAAAAGCTTTGTAGTTCAATTGAGGCTACATTAGCCACTACTAGCATCCGAACACATTTGAATCTTCAACCAAAATGTCGGCAGTCAAGTTGCATTGTAGGTAATGAAGGCTAAAACAAGGAAAAAGAAAGTGTGGAATAAAAAAAACACAATATCTTTGGTCAAGATTAATTGATTTTAAGCTTCTTTTTGGCTAACTGTCCACCATGAGTCCGACACTGTTATGTGCAATGCTAAATTAGCAGAGCACTCTTTAAAGGCGCCATTACTTAAAAATTTACTTTCACTTGTAATAAATTATGGTAGGTGTATAGGTCATAAACTGGTTTGTGAGACAAATTTAATCACAGTTGGGCTCCCATTTGTCAGCAGTTGTGTTTTTTAATGGCAGCCAATATAGGAGAGGTGGTGACGCTGTTTCACGCCCTGTGCATACAGGTTCAAACATAATGTGGATTGTAGTCAAGGCCGATCATGTACAGACCAGACAAGACAGTTTGGTTTTCATTTCACACCAAACAAAAGAAAAGAAAAGCGGACATCACTGGCTAGTTAGCTCTTCCTCTCAGATTGAGAGAAGGTGTGAGAATCAGTGAAATCAGAGGTTTCACTGGTGAGCTGGAATTAAAAACCATGCAGACTCTCGGCCTGCCTATCTCTGTCCTCTGTCCCTCGCTCTCCATAATCAGCCAGATGACTTGAACAAAGTGCAAACCGCCCTGCTCTTTTTAACACGCTTCTCTCCTGCGATTGATTAGGAGATTAGAATCAAGCAGATTAAAACATGGTGACGGGATAATCCTGGGTTACTTTTTACACAGCGCCCTAAATCTGCCGGGTCATCAAGTGACACCGCACAGGCTCCAGAGCCAACGTCAAAAACAATTAAGTTCATACAGTCTCTTATGCAACACAAGTATGCTCTGGTAGTATTGTGTGTTTACAGTATTTGCAATAGAATATTTTTGAATTCTTTCACATTATGCCTTGATTTTATCAGTTCCCAACTGAATTATACTGATGTGCACAGGATGCCCACTTCTCTCTGTGTTTGCAATATTTGGCAAAATACACCAATTCATATATAATAAGCCTGCAACTAAAAATAATTTTATTACTGATGAATATCTCGTTGTGTAATGTATGATAATAGTGAAAAATGTTCATTACCACCTCTCAGAGCCCAAGATGATTTATTAAAAATGCTTGTTTTTGTCCAACCAACGGTCTAAAACCCAAAGGTACTCAGTTTACTATCATATACAACAAAGAAAACCTTAAAATCATGACATTTGAGAAGCTGGAAGCAGTTAAATGTTTGGCATTTTTGCTTGGAAAATGACTGAAATGATTATCAAAAACTAATTCATCAATGTAAATATATGTAGACTACAGTTCAAAGTAATTTAGGTGTAAAAGATAAGGTTTTCAATGTTGATTCCAGGACTATATTTGGCAATGCACTGGATGGATGGCTCTGTGGGCAGTGTGATTACAGTCAGTCTCCCATCCTGATTCAATGAGAGTGCTGGCAGACAAAGGTAATACTTACATGTCTGGAGACGATGTAATTTACTCCAGAATGGACACATGTCCCACTTTCAAAGGTGTCACTGTGAAATACCTGCTACAATCACCATCAGTTGTCCAACCAGCTTACGCAGCTCTCTGTATACTGGCAGTATGCGTGCGGTTGTATTTTGTTAGACAGAGAAAACCTTTGATTTTGATAGTGTGACCGAGTCAATATGCGGTTGCTGCAGCTATTTAGGGCACTGTGCGCGTCCAAGACGGTCAGGTGACTGTCACGTTCAGAGTCCTCTACAGCCCTCTACCGGTAGAAACGTGCACTGACGCTTGTTGTACTGTAATACCATAGCAAGGAGTCTGCATGTTTATGTTTGTGAGAATGAACGAGCCATTAATTGAACCCCTGACATCTTGCTTTGAGCGATAATGAATTGATGATGAGGATGAGATAGGTCTCGTCTCTTTATGAAACTTAAAACTGACTTGTTTTGACAGTACTCTATTTAGACTGTAGACCATAACACACCACCTCTTGAAATGTACCTTATAAATGTACCTTGATTGAGGGGGGTAGTTATGTGCAGACAGTCTCTTGGCTCTGAGCAGTTATCGCTCACCCTCCCTTTGCAAGCGCGCAGGAGAAGCTACGGTTCCCCCAAAATATTACATAGCAAAGAGCATGTCCTAATTGTACCAGTAAAATGAGACAACAAGCCAGAACTCCTTTTCCTTCATTTATCTTATAGTGGGGATGAACAATTAAAATAAAAATCTTAGCAAAATCACCATTTTAAATTAAATATTGTGATGCTGCAGATGTCTTGGTCTCATATTCTAGAGTTAAAAGAACATCTTTGTTTGGTACATATGCCCGCCAAAAAAAAATAAAAAATAGTCGCACTATTACCATTTACTGCGTTTTCAATGAAAAGGAGAATTTTCCCTCTAATATCGCAAATCTATCATATTGCAATATCAGGCACAATAATCCCAATGACATCTAAACTTTTCAGCCCTACCCTATAGTCATGCTGCTTTGACTGGATCAGCGGTCTCAAACTATCTAATGCTAAGTGAAAACTTACAGCAGGTACCCACACAAAGTGATGAAATGCAACCACAGGAAATGGAAACTCAGGGCAGTACAGTTTTGAATTCTTGTCATCACTTCATTTATTTACAAAAAAAGACATGGTTACAGAGACAAAAATAACCAAGACATAAAATGTTGAGTTAAACAGGTCACCATTCTCACGGGACACGCATTACATGACATGCGTCACGAAAGTATCGTCTATTTATAGTTGTAAAAAAGGAACAAAAACGTGTGTGTACTGCTACTGATCTAACAGATGACTGGTGTTGCAGTGTGCATCCTCCGAAGTTAAAATATGAGTATTGCTCTTCCTCTTCCATTTCCTGTTGTGACTCATTCTCTCGCAGCGCTTCGTCTCGGTGTTTCTGCTCTAGAACTTGAACTCTTTGTATTTCTTGGCACCGCCTCGGGTGTCCTGCGGCTGGGCCTTCCTCTTTTTTTGCTGTACGGTGACAAGCGAGCAGAGATGATGCGGGGGAGAAAAAAAAAAGAAGAGGCTTTTAATATTCAAATGTTGCTTCAAAGAAACAACTAATAAGACTGGAAACCACACCGCAATGACAGCCTCCCACTTTCTTTCAGTTTATAAATAAAACACTTGCTGAGTCATGCTTTTTTCCTACATAAGTTTACCATGTGGGTCTTAAATATGAATGTTAATGATGCAGCTCGTCATCTGTTATTGAGGAAAGGAAAATCTGTTGTATTTTTATACCCAAGTTGTCTGGTGCAACTTAAGATTGTAAAAGTTAATAAAGGGAAAATACATTAAGTGATAGAAGCATAAAGTTCACCCTACATAAGGTTTA